TAATGTCTTCAGAATGGGAAATGAATAAGTGATTCACTTAGTATACTTTATGGTCCCAGGGCGCCAGATTTCCGGGGGAATACCGTCACTTGGGCCAGGACCAGACGCGCAACCCACGTTCCGGAGACTTTCAAAGACGTCGAGTGCTCCTTTTCCCGGGCTGGGAAACAATAATGAAGTAGAATATTTGAGTCCGAATTTAATATGGGTGCTCAGATGTGTACAGACAATTTGCCGTACAAATTTTCGAACCCCCTGTCCGAATCCATTTCGCCCTGTAACATACTTGTACCAGTAGACGCACCAGCATTGTTTCAACAGACACCAGTAGAGTACGCGTACAGTACGCTGCTCAAGTAGTGGGTTTCCTCCTTCAAATCCTTGCTTTGGGGTGCCTCCTGCCTGCGACGGGTCGAGATTTCCCTGCACAAATTTGGGCTTTGGGGGCGGGAGGACGATAGGATGCTGCGGACGATTCTGGAGGAGACGGGAAGGCGGTAGACTATTTTGGAGCTTTAGCGATTTACGGTTCTCCGGACATGTCTTTCCATTGTTATCACGGGAGTATACTCGAGTACCGATATAGAGGGATGAGGGATTCGCAGAGGAAGAGAGATATGTACGGTTGTATGGAAGGATGCGAATGCTTCGATTCCGTTTCGCACACACTCCTATCTTTAGCTTTAGTTTGGTTCACATGGAGAGGAGAGAGACGAACAAGGCAAAGGAGTTTCTGGCCATTCCTTTCCCACCCGGCGCCAGGGCCCAGAGTAATACCTCCTACAGTACCACTGCCCTACCTGTTGGTCACCCCACGATGATCTCTCTCCTTAACATGAGCGACTCTACGACCCACGGCAGCGCGTTTGAAGTGGGCTCAGAACTTGCCGGAGACGAGCGGGCGGGTGGAGAAGAAAGTTGTGCTTGGAAGAGTAGTCAATAGAGCTCCTGCCCGTTCAGATAGCGCGGACTGATTCAGGGGATAAGTGTTTGTGTTTGGTGATGTGGCTAGGATGTGTGGCTGGTGTGTTTACTTTGCATCTTCTGTTGGCAGGTAATCCGGGCGTTGGGGCTCACAGCCGTGATCGTGGCGATCCACGAGGAAGCTAGCCGTTAACACGCGATTGTGGCTATCCCATACCTGTATCATGATTGAGGCTCCGGGGAGTGTTCCGCGTCCCCATGTCCCCGGCCCCCTCATCAACCGAGTTGGACAAAACATTATCAAATTTTATCCCCCTTGAGTTCATTTCCTTATCTCTTTACATTTCAAGCTCCGATCCCACAATCCTATTTTTATCCTCCTCACTCTGACGGCATTGGCGTCACCCCCGGGAGCCCAACAGTGAGTTCGTTTCTACGATACTGCTGAACTTATCTCCCTGCCGCCTTCACGGGACGGGTTGCATAATGTGATATCACTGTTCAGTTTCCTACCGTAGTTCATTTTTGCAGTTTATTTTCCCAGTTCACTTTTTTCAAGCGTCCATTTTTCCGGTTCGCAGTTCACGAACTGTGAACCGCTTGTTTGAAGGGTGTATCTCCTTTGATTCCCATACTCCGTAATGAGTAAGTTACCTCTTTCTCCTCCAATTCCTAAAGCTTACTAATATCAAGGATTGTAGTTGAGGGATCCAGGGTAGGGTGAAATTTGTTGTCCTCATTTCTGTCTCAAAGCGGGTAAAGGCGGACATCTAGGGAGATGGGAAATGGCGAACGCGGGAGACGCGGGCTGCCCGAGCCAACTCCGACCCCTTCACACGAGAGAGCGACGAAAACCCACGAAATCGACATCGTCAGATTACCGGTAGTTGCTACAGGGGTGCCCCCTGAAATTGGGGTTCGAGAACATCATCCTTCGCCAGCCGGGCTCGGGGTAACGAGTGTGCCGTCTCCACTTAAAGACATTTTTGCTAAGAGTAGTACATTTAGGAGAGGTATAACCATTTCTTCATTTAGAGGAGAGAGTTTATCGCATCGAGGGCTCCCATAAGTTTCCATTCTACCTTAGCGTACCCAGTAAACCATTCATCGCTGTTAGAAATTTGGGGCCTGAGTTAGCCAATCACCGTAGGGATCACTAGGTGGACAAGACATTGTGTGAGTATGGTCACAATTTCTCGCTAGCCATCGCCTTACCCACTCATGTGCGAGCCGTGTGGGGTGTTGTGGCAATGCGGATTGGACATCAGCTTGTGTTCTACATAGATGGTTTATCGGAAGGTATTTCTTATCCAGACGCACTCCGGGAGTAAAAAGCCCAGTTGGGATTGATTTAACAAACCAGTTGTTGCCCGTGTGGTGCAACCCGCCGGAAGCCGAAAGGGACAACAACACAATGCCGAGAACAGGGCCTTTCATCCCAGAAGGGCTCACCAGGTTCTAGCGGGAAATCTGTAGGGAAGGTTGCATCACCCCAGGTCCTCCGAGGATACAACCTCCGTATTTTGAGATCAACACATCTCTACGTCCCTCCACGCATGGGACAGTCAAGAAGATCGGGAAGAGCGGCATGCGATGCAGTGACATTCGGCCAACCCGGCTGTTTTCCAATGTTGGAGAGCACTCTGTACTCGTAGCAGGAGTTTTCCGCCTAGCCTAGTACTACCAGCACAGTATCGTAGTCATAGGAGCGCGGGAGGGCCAGCCGGTACTTGCACGATAGCGTCAAGCTTTGTGGTGGGGTTTCTAATAATACCTGTTACTAGCCCCCCAAAGGGTTGTGTGCTGGCCAAGCCACAAAGGATCCACCGCCGGGGAGGGTAACTTTAACCCTTGGCGCTCGTGGGTGGTTTTTTTTGAAAAACTTTCCGCGTGCTCTTGCAACGTCCAATCAGGGTACCGTATGTTGTATCCCTGTCTCTTTCGATTGGTGGGTCCAAACCCCTTGCCCAGTGCTGTACGGGTACCGTACTCGTGCTCATGTACGGTACAAGTACTGTACCTTGCGAAGGCCAGCCTGCAATACCGTGCTGTGCTCAAGCGGTTTGTGATACCAGTCAATTCGTCAGGGAAGAGCCCCACAACGCACTGCAGATGACGTGTGAGACTAGGGCGAGGGGTCGGACAGGTGTAGAAATTGCTTATTTCCTCTCCAGGTCCAGCTGCACCCGGGAAATCCTCTCCGTTCAGATTCATCTGGCTGTTTTGGGAAGTGCGCCGTGCATTGTGGATACTGATGAGGTTAGACTACTTTTCGCCAAGACTCTTTTAACCATTTTAGCCCACCCGCAGGTGGCCCCTCCCCGTCCCAACAACCAACGCCAGAAGCCAGCGAAAAGGGTTAACCAGTTTTACTCACCCCGGTACCGTACTCGACTACCAGTAGGATACGAGTACCGGTACTTGTGCTCGTACTGTACGTTCCGTGTCCAGAACTCGGCCTAATCATCCAGCCCCCCCCACCCCCCGGCAAGGGACCCCTACAGCACAAAATCACTGCTCGAGTGCCCGTAGGGAGCCCTAGGAATACTTCTGCGTTTCTTCCTATTAAAGCCCACCGTGGCAGGCCGCATATCAACGATCTGGGGTAACTTTCCTCCGGCCAATTGAAGGCGGGGGGTGGCAAGGATGCAGCCGGCGAGTGATATCTTGTGATATTAGTAATCGGGAATTAACTTGCCAACCGGGCTGAGCGGGGCTGAAAAATGCTAGTACGATACTTTGGAACTCCCTACAAAAACGCTCGCTGGCACATCCGGTACAGTAGTGTAAGCTGCCGCTCAAAGCGAACGGGAACCTACGATAACGATACGTACCGTACTCGCACTCACCCATGTACTGTACCCCCTCACACCGCAGTGACAAACGACCATTACCACAGGACATACAGGTGCCTTACCCAACCCCCTACTAGGGCCTTGAGGATCGGGCCTTGACTTATCCTTGACTTACAGGACCGTATCGCCCCCCGCCCAGCTGCCCACACACCCATGCTCCTGTTCAGCAGGAAAAAGTGCAATTTTGGCGATGGATCACACCATCATCTCGAACGTGCAGAACTCGATTCGCTTGTTGGTTCCCCATCTGACCCGGCTGGATTTTTGGGGGTTAAGGTTTGCGGAACCCCGCTTTGGAAGTACGGTACGGTAAGTTACCGCTCCTGTTGCTGGGGCTGAAGGTAGGGGACTCGAGTACGGGTTGTGGTTGCTTGCTGCACGTATTGGTACTCGAGTACATGTATGAGTACGAGTAGTGCTCGAGTAACGGTCTGGGAGGGGGAAGGGAGGTGAGTTAGATCCGGGGAAGCATATCTGGGCCTATCAGGATGGGCTATACCGCTTTCTGGTCCGCCCGGGGTGGCGTAAGGTGTGGTGTGGGGAGGGGTTTTTATCACGCTCGATGGATTGGGAAGAGAGGAGCAAGTACCGGTACCGATGCTGCACGGGTGTACAAGTGCCAGGGATAATGTTTTCGCACAGTTAATTTAGGTTAACCCGCAGAATAATCCCTGTCTTGTACGAAAACATCTCCCCTGGCACTTGTACGAGCAGGAGTATATTTGGGATGCGCATGGATTATAGGGCTAGCCGAGATTGGCGGGTGTTGGTCTAGGGTAGCCCTGTTTGTTTCGCTACCGTTCTTAATTTATCCTGTTCGAGAAATTTTGCGAGTACTCGAGTAACTTACTCTGACCATTTGGTTGGGGTGGCCAGAACTTGCGGCTAGGCTGCTTAGTCATGTAGTTCAACCATCCCTGCTGCAGCAACTACCGTACTGTATCATACTCGAATACCGTAGTTTCTTCACTTAATTTCTTCCCGACCAAGCAAAAGGTGCCACCCCCGATTTCCAGGATCAGTACTCCAATCACCTCCAAAAGTCGCACTCCCCCGTTTTGAGAAAAATAAATGTGTAAATTAACCCATAAACTATGCTCCATCTCCTGCCACGGCCATCCTCAATCGTCATGGCCGTGAAAGGAGGGGGGCTGAACATTATTCCCTCCAGCAAGAAACCGCTCAACCACATAATACAGAAAAATAGATATCTATCATAAATCAAGTCCTATACCAGTTCGCCTCGGGGTCGTTCATGCATTCCCCCAATCGGACATCTATCCCAATTAGCGTTGAACACTAGAACAGGACAAGAAAGTGCGACATACGCTGATACCCACTTTGAATACCAATATCAATCTGGTACTCTGTCAGCGAGACCACAGTTTGTTCGTGGATGTCATGTCTATTTCTCCGGTAAGTAATGCGAATAAACAATCTTGAGTAATCGAAAGAGGGAGGGGGGACAATACGCAATAGACATGAAGTTCATGTTTGCCGGGCTGGTGCCCACGACCTCATCGCGGACAATACGCTTGGAGTTCTCGATCAATTGCGGGGAATCGTTATTGTAGTCGTCGGTGTTCAAGTCCCAGATTATCACGTGGTAGCCTAGGTCGGCCATTGTTCTTCGGCAGGCGTTCTCGCAGCGGATATAGGGTGGGCGCATGTAGGTTCTGATACACTATTAGCTATGGATCGCCATCCTATGGGGCCGTGGGAGACTTGCGGGTATTTGCCGACTATGGTGTGTGTGTGTCAGCCATGCGGATAGAGTACTGGAATGGAGGAACATACTGATTGAAACCAATGCCTGCTCGAGTCTTGTCATTTGGAATCTCCTGTTGGTCTCACTGAGGGTATCCATGTCCAAATGGTCCCAACTATGCCGACTATTTTAGCATAAAATGGTTATACCTAGGGAAGGGTACATACGTATGGGAAGCAATTTGATGACCCTCGCTATAGGCCCTGGCAATGATGCTTCTCCACTGAGAGCCCGGAGCGTCAATCGCCCCTTTGTCGAGATTGTTTCCCCTAGAAGCGTATTAGTTGAGTTTAGGGTTCAACTATACTAGGGGTAAAACGTACGTCACAAAGAATGTGGCCTTTACCCCCTTGTTCCTCAGAATGTCTAACAAACGCGAAGTGTAGATCCAGGGCCCGTCGTCGTAGGTTAGTGCAATTGTGCCCTTTTTAATACAACTGAAGATGTCCATGCCGTAGGGCAAGTTTCCGATCTTTGGACGAGTACCAGATGGTGGTGTGGGTGTAGGCGCAGATGTAGATGTAGATGCAGGATTAGTGGTAGATGTAGGTGTTCCTGTAGGAGTTCCAGTCGGGGGTGTTGTGGGGGAAGAACTGGATGATGAGGCGCCATTGCATCTTCCATAGGCGGGTTGACATCCGGTACCACAGTGGCCGAGAGTCTCTCCACACCAATTGTACTGTGAGCAGCACTGGTAGGTACCCGGTAGTGAAGTGCAAGAGTAGCCGCTGAATTGAGCCCCGCAACGGCCGTTAGGGGAGTCTCTGGAAAATAGTGGCTCCTTTGGTAGCCCGGAGACAAGGGCAAAAGGGAGTGAGAGAAGGAGCGAAAGCAACAACTTATTGGTGAACATCTTGGCGGAGACTTAATGATATTACCGGTACTTAGGGAATGATGGGAAAGAGCAGCGGAGGAGGGAGGGGCTGTATTTATTATACGTACCACGGCAGGGCAGGTGGGAAAGTTTGGGTATACTCCCACCGTACTGATTAACACGGGTCTATCGCTGCTCGTGCGGCTGGGGTTCAAGTTGGACATCTGCGCTGGCAATTACCATACAAGGTATCCAGCTTCAACTCGGCCGTGCTAGTATAGGGATGGGGTCCACAATCGTGTAGGGTACTCCTCGGGTATGCGTTAATGTCTGCAGACGGTAATAGCTTGTGCTCCAATTAACCTCATATACCGGTAATTAACTCTAGATTCAGTGGTTTATCACAATCTGTGTGACGTCGGAACTTGGGCGTGTCGGTTACGAGTACAGGTACAAGGAATTTTCTTCCTTGTTCTGAGACATACTCAAGCCACTTGACTCTTCTGCCTATCAGGTTAAAGTACCCAATCATCTGGGGTATGGCTACACGAAGATATGCACGAGATACTGCAGAACAAGGAGCCGTCCAGTATTCAGATTGAAGCATTGCACCAACAATACCTGTACGAGTAGTGCAACTTGTATTCTTGAATTCTTGAGGTGTAGTCGTACTCTCTTCGCACATTCAATTGTAACCGAGGCAGAAAGTTTTTCATCTACCAGAGGTTCTATAGCAGAAGAATGGACAGCCTTTCCAAGGTCACCAATTATTATATCTCAGTTGAGCCGAAGTCGGGCACTTGGCGCGGTAACTCTCCTACACTGTCCCGCTCCTGCTCGCCCGCGAGTAGGTTCTGGAAAATTGACACAAATACCGCAGGCGAACTCCAGAGTAGGTTCTCTCCCCTGCAGAAGCCATTGCAACTGAATCCATAATTAGCAAAAAAAAAAAGACAATCACGATTTTGTACACGAGTTAACGTGGTGCGTTGGTATCTCCATAGACAGTCGGGTCGGAAGAGGGGTAGACTTCGGCCATGGCTTGGCCAACACGGTGGGAGCCGATATAAATGTTCATCAAAAAGCAACAAGAGAGTTGCAATGAAGCTCTCAGGATCTGAGCTAGTCCTTGATAGACACAACACTCGAGTATCGGTGTCGGCACGTACGGCATCTCTCTCTTTTTTTCTTTTCGCTTCAGCTTGGGTACCGGCGGATAACGCCTCTAAAATCATCGTTTAGGGCTTTCTTGTCTCTCTTCTTCCGCCCTCATCCGGGCCAGCGGGAAGTTCACAAAATCGTCCTTCATTTTGCCCCCTGACACGGCCAGAGCTTCCCTTGTATCATTTCGGGTACCCGGTTCGATTAGGATGCGAGTGATACTACGTGTTCATTCAGGCAGGGCCTACCAGTTTGTGACAGGGGTCACCGACAACTGAAGCAGTCAAAGTATGGCGTTCCGCCTGGAGGATTGATTCTGCAGGACCTTACTTGAGCTATTTAGTGATATCAGTAGAAACACCACGAAGGCAGTGAAGGAAAAAATTGAAGTCTGGAATAAATAAATCTATCGACGCATGCGGCTAACAAACGACAAGTCATTCTGCCAAGCCTAAAGATCCACTCTTTAGGCGAATTCCCCTCTCAATCGCGCTCCTGGGTGTGAAACACCAGCGCCCGGATTTCGATACTTTCTCTCAGCCTCGGATTCTTCGGCGAGGTAGGGTCCCTGATGGCGGTATGCGGTGTCACTTGCGACGCATTAGCACACTGGAGTTCCAACGCCATTTTAGGCCCCACCTCTGGCTCTGTCTGTCTTGCTATCAAAACACTTTATCATGATAACTTCGTCATTCTGTTGCCTTGACTTATAATACCTGCGCCCCACGTTCTCAGTAGCCCTAACCCGGATCCCAGTTTTTAACAGTTGTATGCTTACCATCTATGCTCTGGATTGTACAACACACTGTATGTTTCCCCTGTGTGACCAGGATATACCAGGTCTGTGACGACAAGGTCCTCTGGTTTAACCGAGCGGTAGTCTGCCACCGCTAGCGGGTGGTCTTCAATCGGCCCAACCAGTGGCCTCCAGACACTGCCAGTAGAGTCAATATTGTCACGGGGGTGAAAATTCTCTAATGCACTGCGAGGGATTTACTTGATAATCTGCACGCGACCTCTTAGCAGCTTTTCCGCCTCATCGGGGAGGTGACGCTTGACTCTTCCAGTTCCGGCACTTGGAGCCCTGAGAATGTCAGCCGTGAATTAGCGAGCAAGTATCAGGTGCACAAACTGGTCAACATGGACTCGCAAAGCTGGTTGCATTGTTCCCACCAGTCCACGACCGTCGCCAGCGTGCTCCGGTATCCTCTTGCGTACAGTATGGTCGAAGATAAACACTCTGTCGGCACCGGTATGAGTTTTAAGCAACTCCTCGACTCTCGGATAGTATTTATTCTCAATTTCCTCATCACGGCTATTCCTGATATGCTGAATCATCTCATCAGGCACAGCGTCTTGAAGGAATTCGAACCCGCTCTTGTCCAACGAGAATAACTTTTCATGGCCTCGGACATCGGTAATCTCGTGGGGGTATGCTTCGTGTTCCACATTACTCGATTCAAAGACTCCCGGAACGGTCACGCTGACGAATGTGGGCTTTGCGGTGAAGCCGGGCTTCAGATACCAAAGGTTTGTCCGAACTGAGTTCGGGTTCTTGAGTATTACGATTTTATCGTACTCGCTTGCTCTTGTGGTACTGGCAGTAGACATTTTGTGTGTGACGCACTCGGCTATCGGGGTGTTTGATGTGAATGTCAGGCTTCCCCTTCCTTAATTCCACAGGGTGGTTTCGGAGGAACCAACCTTTATAAACCCATCCTGACATTCGCCTCCGAACAGAGGAGGAAATGGATTTCGAACCTTCGGGGGCAGAACCACGGGTTGGCATCATGGCTCCGTCCGAGTCGCGCTTAGGGGTGTCGTAGCCGATCGAGGCTTGTATTGCTGTAGTTCATCTCCCGAAATAAATTGATTGGAAATGCGTCCTGGTTGGACGAATGGGGAAGCTCGAGACAGTCTTTTTAACTTTTCGGCCAAGCGTGCCTTTTCGTGCTTTCCTGGTGTTAATTCCCCCTTTGGGTATAAAGGGTGCTTTCTGGGAGGCTATGCAAGTTCAGGCATCCTAGTGTTGCTCCCCACCTGTGCCGGCAGTGGTCCGATTTTCCGGGAAAGAGTCGCACTAGTACAATACGAGTACCTAGCATTATCAACCACAGCGTAACTCGGGGACATCATCGTGTGCTAAAGGATCAATGCCCGAACTTTGACTTGGGAAATACTGAAGGCAGCCCCGCCGTATGATACCAATGTCTATGGGACGGGATAGAGTATAGATGTGAAGGTTGAGGGGGCTTCGTTAACCGCAGGGTGCTGTAGTCTGTGGGACCTCCTCACCGCTTTTCGGAGGGCTAGAGATAGATGGTTGGGCTTCCTATGGAGTAGAAGGGGATAATGCTTGATTTTTGTCGGGTGTTGCGTCTCTGTGCCCGAGAATCGGACACCAAAGGAGTTTGCGAAGGGTGTTAGGATTCGGAAGGTGGGGCAATTGTGAACTTGAAATCGAGAAATAGTATTATTGTGGAAAATCGGGGACTTTCCCAGTCTCCATTCTGGCAGAGAGCTGGCGGTTAGAAACACGGCTTGGGGGGGGGGGTCCTCTCTTTTTTCTGAGGGTTGATCCGTAACTGGGCTTTAGAAAAGCGGAGAAGCAGGTGCACAAATGAGTGCGGGGGGTGAAGGTAAATCGGAGGAAACCCAGAAACTGGGCTAGTGATACCTATATAACCCTTTAGAATATGAATGAGCCGCGCCATCGCACTCTCCCCACTCAGAGGGCCGGACAAAAGGACTCAAGATCGGGGGAGGACAACCTAACCCCGGTATCGAACATGCCAAATTAGATGGTTTTGTATGTTAATTATCATGTAACTACTAGGATTATTGAACCTGCAGCACAACATGTAGTCCATCTCTGCCCCGCTCCATGCTCCCATCGAGCCAAAATATCACAAAAGAAGCAAAATCTGGAATGAACTGTACAAGTAGATATGCATGCTCATGAATGTGGTGCCCGAAACCGACCAAGACACCATTCAACCCCATCCAATCATGACCACCTCGCAAACCGTGACTCCAACCCCGCACCTAAATGTCCAAAGAGCCTTATCTACCGGTATCCCCATAAGCTGTGTGGGGGCTGTACCCCGGATGGGAGGAACTTGGGCCTCAAACCATTTGTCCCTGTTTCTAGGGTAGGGTATTGGCACGACCATCATCGTCAGGGGGTTCGTACTTAGTGGTTGGGGGGGGACATTTTTTGTTATTCTTGGCCTTAGTCCTCATCCCGAATCCTACCACTCCGGTGATGAAGAAAGAAACCCTGAAGTAAGGTTAGTCTCCATCCTTTGGGGCTAGATGTTGTGTGGGCAGCGGAAACTCACATGGCGACGATAGCAGCCCCAAAAGCGGCTTTGTAGAAGTAGATAATAGGAGCCTCAGTCCCCCATGCGTCAATATCGGAAAGGAACTTTCCAATGAGACTAAAGCCGGCAATCTACATCGCTGTCAAGACGAAATCCCAGATGAAAGTGAACGTCAAATAGAGGGTTTTTCGGTGGTAGGTTACGAGAGCTGTGAGAGAATGGATGACAGAACTCAAGGCCTGTAAACCAAAGAGTGCTATTAGTCGGGACTTCTGCCCCGGGCTGGGCAATTTTGACTTACCGCTCCTATCAATATCGACAGCCCGATGAAAGGAGACAAGATATTGGCATTTGTGATTGCGTAGTTATCGGGGTTGTCATGTTCGTCGGTGTTTCCTCTTTGATCCTGGTGGAATGAAGAGACGGTGATAACACTCTTTTCCTGGCTAGAGGATGCATCCTGCTTGCCCGAAAAGTGCCCCTTGATCTTATATCCCCATCGTAGATAGACTGTTGCACTCAGGAGGGATAATGTGAGCGTAAACTGAAAGGCTCTGAAAAGTATATAAAAGGGCGACTTGGGCTGAGAAAGGTTCCTTTTTGCCATCGTATTTGTAGGGGAGGAGGTGAAGGAGAAGTTGATGGTATATCGTTTGGGAGGAGTAGGGGATGGCAATCAACACTGAATGCCCGGTAAGGACGAGAAGATGGATAACGGTATTTTATCGACAGCCGGAGGAGGCGCATGGCATACAAGAACTGTACAGCCAAAACTCATTTGAGCAAAGCTTACATTCCGATGCACGGGTATTACGGGCGGTAACGCGCTTACGGGGCGGAGTCTACCACCTCATAGCGGTAGCGGTATCTGTGGTACCGCCCCTCGCGCTGTTCTTAGCCGGGGCGCTGTCGTTTAAGCCTGGGGGAGAATGGAGGCGTTGATGTATTAGTAATGCAGTGCTTGCTTAATTTCCAATATTAGAAAAATTAGCCTCCTCTTGGCTAAAGCCCAAGATTCTCACCGCTCCGGTTGATGTGTGCGGCGACATGATTGCATGGGGCAACAACTTACCGTACAAGTACAGTACTCGTACCATTACCTGTTTCTCCTCGACTGCTGAAACCCTCGGGGATATACACGTACAAGTACCGGTACGGTACCAGTACTCGGGTGCTCCAGCCCCTGACAGTGCCTAGGACAGGGATGGATAAGCGCCAGGCGGATAAAACAGGCATGGCTCTTTGTCTCCCGAGGGGTGTTATTGTGCTCGCTAGAGGTGATGGCGATGAGATCCGGCAGGGGTGATAAGCTAATACTCGGCTTTAATTGACAGTGTTTCCGGCCATGGTGCTAAATCCAAGCCAGGATTTTGTACCGGAACGGCAAAGCCCGAGCGCAGTGATTGTTTCTTGCGCTCTGTTCAAACTGCTCACACAATACGGTTGCTCTCACTCTACGATATTGGCCACACAACACCTTACCTATTCTCGACCACCTGTGCAAATCCCACAGAATGGGTTTCTTGTACCTAAGCAACGAAACGGTCATTGAGCGAAAAAACACCCGGAGTGGCTTACCCTGTTGCTTTGACCGTGATACTGGTATGTCGTTCGGGGAGAGGTGAGTAAGATGTACTACCGGTAGTACAATACTTATTGCGTGATGTCGCATAATTGATCACTTCAACGCTCAAGGGCGGCTGGGGCGTTAGGGGTCCCTGCGGCGGATAATCACCATCGCTGACCCATGGCACGGGCCTCAAGGTGAGCCGGGGTGAGTAGGTACTCGTAGAATCTGTTTTAACTGGGACAATCGACAACAGGTGACCTAATACGGTATTGTAGGCGTGCGTTTCATACAGAGCAAGCTCGCTGCTGCCCCCCCCCCCCGTCTAGAGCCGGGAAGAGTCGGGTGTCGTTTGTGTGAGCGTATACTCTTGTAGGTGTGTCGTAGCCGGTGGACCTTTTTTTTTTTCCTTATTACCCTCCTGTATGGTTATCTTTGCCAAGTTATTCATAGTATCTTTTATTTTTTGCTTTGTTTTATTCCTTGCTCTCGAGTAATTTTTCACTCTCTATACATTGAATTCCTTATATACTAGATTCTTGGTGTGATTGGTTCCTTGTAGGTGTTCCATGTTGAAGGTCATGGAAGGATGTGGATTGATTGGAATGGATTGTAGAAGGTTCGGAAGTCTTGCTGTATGAGGTTGTGAGATTGGCGGAACAGATTCATTGAACATGTCTTTCCTTTGTTATTACGGGAGTGTGCGGCAGAAAGGAGAGCATACATGGAGAGATAGAGATTGGTGTGGTGATCGATAGAAGAGTCAGAGTTTACTGTTTGTGTTTTCATTTATACGTCTGTTGTTACCATTAGTTTGGAAAAGAGGAACATAGCCATTCTTTTACCTTACCTCTCATAGCTGCTCGGTTTACTGCCATAGTTTCACACATTTTGTCCACTTCGTCTTCCATTCCCCGCTGCGCATTGAGTCCTCTGACACCACCCACTATAATATTCCACCCCATTAGGAATGGTTTCCATTTGGTCAAGCGCCTGAACGCTAGAGTTGATGTCTGATGCCTAGATAGAGCAGCGATAGCTGGACGAATAGCGAGCCCATGTTGGGCAACACAATTAATAATAATACCGCACACACTTGGTTCAGAAGCAAGAACTAAGAAATCATCACGCAATCACATAGCTATTGATCTAGCCCTTGAAATCATTAGGTCCATTATGAACCATCACCCTTCCACGTTTGATACTTTTGGTCAATAGCAGCCCAAGGAAGAGCTCTCCAAGTCCTCACAAGCATCCATTTGGCGCGATTTGCTACCACTGCAGTCTGTAATATACTCAAGTGGACGGATTGAGGTCGGTCCATTTTTGGCGGTGATACGTGTTATTTGCGGGTGGGGGTGATCTGTATGATACACCGAGACGAACAGTGTTAGGGAAACTCCCAGCGGTGGATGACTGTACTGCAGGGCTTTCATTTGGAGACTCGAATCCACTCTGGCGATTACCCGTTGGGGTATTCTTGGCCTTTTTTTTGGGCTTCGTTCTTTAAACCTTGGCCGTGTTTTTTCTCTTGGTTTTTATCAGCCATGGGGTCCTTCCCTTGTGCAACGATTGTACCGTAGGATGTGCGTGCCATGTGCCGGGGATCGTGCCGCGAATTTAGCAAAAAAAAAAACAAAATTGCATTGGGGAGCATTCTTGGTGAGAGGTGTTTTCCGAATTGTGGGGAAGGCTCACACTTTGGGTACCTCCAGGGTAATTCCTATAATTTATCTCAGCCTCTACTTGCAGCAAGCATCCATGAGAAAGGGAGGTGTGGTAAGGCCAGTGGTGACGTTGGGCTATAGTTAGAGTACATGGGCTTTGTTCCCCGGTAAAAGTGCTACTGTAAAATTAGGCTCATAATGGACCGGACATGTTCATTGGAATGGTGTTTTGTGGGGTTTCTAGGGCACTTGGGATACTTCGTTATAACCGTTACGACGGCGTGAAGCCGGCAACCCACAACAGCGGGCTCTAACAGCGGCCAGGGTCGGTTGCATTCGTTATGTGCGGGATGTTTTTTTTCACATGTATCAAGCGTTGTGTGAACTCTAATCATCTTTTGAACACGACTGAGGTTATCTTACTCACAGCCCCCCCCGCGTGCTCAACCAAAACCCTTTGCATGAGGGTGGAAGAGTGCAGCCGTCCTTAGTGAGCCTGCGAACTATGGCGGTGCCCGGAGGAATTCCTTATATCTCGCTGGAAATCCGGGGATGCCAATAGCACTCCCAAGACCACAGTGATTCCTGTGTTGTGTGTGGGTGTCGCGGGAAGTTGATATGGCAGGTCACCGATTGTCGATATTGTGCATTTGAGTCCTTTGCTGGCTATACTCCAAAACTTGCTCTTTCTAGCCCCAAAATACTCCTGATATCACAAGACGAGATCATGATTAATCACTCGTTCATACCTCATCGAGGTTCAACAGATAACTTTGGGGCGCACGATATAATGCAAATGCGATATAATAATTAAACCCATTGTCCGCCGTGAAAGTCAGTGTGAATAGAAACCTACTCGGTTGCGACTGAAGCCTTATGTTTAAGATTCTGTTGAACAATCCTCGACTCTCCGCTTGTTGGCGTCTAACATCTTACTGTGAGGAAGCTTGGTTTAGCAGCACGCCCGGCTGAGTGAGCCCCTATGGTAGGGGAGTGGCATTGCACGGCATCGGGACCATTGCTGGACCAGTTATGACAGATAATACCATTGTTGAGCTTAAACTAATAGCTAAATACAGAGATATATATTTTGAACCCATTTGCAACCAATAAAAAATCTTCACTAGGCTTACCTACTTCTCCTCAGAGAGGTAGAAATACAAGTCTTGATACCTTCTTATGGATATATCAAAAATATATCCCATCACAGTCATTAGAGTAGCAATATACTATATACTATAGGGCTTTACCTTTTAAGATATTATTTTCTGGAGTTGTAGCAAACGCCTGCAGTCTACGGCTCGGCGGTAGTGGAAATGTATCGTGTGATTCGAACACTATTAGAAGGGGTGGGGGAGGTTAGTGCGAGACCGTGGGGGGATAAAGTAGAAAGCGGATAGATAGAGAGCACGGATCGTTAAAACTGGTTTCTAATCTTTGACATCTGCCGGAGACTCCTCCACGATCACTATTCGAGGCATTCCGGCACATCTATGACTATTGACATTTCTTGTGTTCCAAGCACCATAGCTCGGATTCGGATGCACTCTGGTCGCAATATGGAGACTCTATTAGCAGGAATTTACATTCTTGCAAAGTAAAGCTTCTGTGGAGAGTAGGGCGGGTAAGGGGGCAGATGTCGCGGGTGAGGACGACGTTGTGCAGACAGCTCTTCCTACGTCTAAGAAGGAACCTGTTTTATATGGATTAATTCCGTCGGAGGTAAATGGGGCCATCTCGGCGGTCCAACCTTGACCGGCCTAGAGCTATTTGTCCAGTTCTAGAGCTCTAGAAGCGTCAGAAATGGGAGATATGGAGGGCGTAGTCACTGGTTTAGATAGCAAGGAATATTCCCCCGCGGTGGCGATGAGGCTGGTGGTGCTGCGGACCCCGCTTTTTTCATTGCATAGCGATTCCGGCGCCTGGGGCCTTCCATTTTCTCCCGGGTCTCCTGAATCTTGCTTTAGAGGCCCGATATCCCTTTGAATCCGTTTCACCCCAGGCCCCGCGTCGGAACGCCATGAGGTCGTGGGGGGTGTTTCCGCTTTTCGTTTTTGTTCCTGTGCTTGGGTGTTGTATGATGCTGCTTTGCGGGAGGGGCTTAACTTCGAGAAAATTTCTGCTCCTTTCCTCTTAACTCGATACATATAACTATTTTTAGAGGGGTTAATTCCTTGTCTTGCCCTCAAGACCTGTAGGCAAGTTATCCGGTGCGAATCACACGGAGGGGGCAGAAGATCCTCCCTTTATGGTTGGTGCACGGCCTGAAGGAGGATTTTTCATACAAGTGCAACAGCCCCAGCTTAGTAGTCTATCCATTGTCCCTCGCCTCGTCATCACATCCTCATTACGCATCACTCGGGTTTCCGGCGATCTGCTTAGGAGAAACTGGATCAGATAGTACGGTAACATCAACGGTGTGGGGAAAGGTAGGCCTTTAGACCGCGATAGTTATTGTTCAACGTATGGCATCTGTCCTACGGCACTCTCGATGTCGGACTCGTGGGCTGTCGGTGAGATAGCTTTGGCAAGCGGACTTAGCTGGGTTGAAAGTTTCTTGGCGCCATTCAAGGTGATATCTTTGCTCAATCAAACACGTCCTAGCAATGTTCGCGTAAAGTTAGGCGCTTGACTTGATTATAGTATTATCTGTAGGAGGTTTGGAGGGATGAAGTTAGTGCGATTGATAGAGTGAATATCGGGAGCCTCCCGACACGGGCTTTACAACAGTCTTCTCGGTAGTGACGTCGGGTTGTCTCGGTGAGATTCTGGTATTATCGCTTTTATAAGATACCGAATGAATGCCGGCCGTGAGCATGAATTCCCGAGCCCACGCGGGGTGCCGGTGCGGATTTGTGGGAGTTGTAATATAGAAAAGAAATGTCCTTGGCTTTGGGGCTTCTATACTTTCTTCTCTATCTCTATCCTCACTTTGACAATTTACTCTCGGGCACTGTTTCCTAATCACTCACTCACTGGTCGACATTCCTTTTTTCACTATGTAGTGGTTACAGGGTCTTTGGCGTCAACTATCCGTAGTCCGTTCTTTTCTTCCTAAGATGTTGCCTCCGAGAGGGTTATCGGTAGTGTGTGTGCTGAGAGGATATCTTTGCATTCGTGCTACGGGATTGCCCCAGTTTGCTCCCGCTCAGAAAGAACCCGTGGAGCATTTAACCGGGCATCCATCTGCTCCCATGGGGCGGCCTCCGGCTCAACAACCTCCAGTCCAACCGCCCGCAACCGCCCAACCGCTCCCCGCTGTCGAAGAGCCCGCTGTTATTCAACCGCCTGCTCCTGCTCAGCAGTCAGGGGCAGTCCAACCACTATTCCATGTTAAACTTCCTGGCGCAGTTCAACAACCCGACATTCCTCCTCCAGCGTCAGGAGCTACTCCAGCTACTAGTCAGTCGCCACCGATGCCGGTCCCACCCCCCTGCCTCCACCACCGGGGGTCAGCCAAACCCCATACTAACCAATGTGGCCGTGCAAACTCGACCGACAGGATCAGACTCACCGAAACCCGGCTCAAAGATCCCAGTCAAGTATCTACTCCTTTCCCTCCTCTAGATCAAGCTCCGGCGCCACAACCCCCACCGGGAGCGTATAACTCCTAGGCAAGCAATAACGTCGTGGAACTCTGTAACAAGAAGTGGTCATCTATTGTTCATCTGGGGCACATGATTCTCCGTTTGTCAGCTCAGAGGAGAATGGATTTAGTGTTAGCGAGAATCAGCACTTTTATTTCAAGGTTCAATGAGACGCTGGGGTTCGATTATTGCAGGGGCAAATTCATGGTGAGGACGACAAGACTATGCTGTGGCATTCGAGCTGTAAGCTGTTTGCGGAGGTCTGTTAGAGAACTATCTAAAGAAGGTACGGGAGTGGATGGACCAGCACACAAGCGAAGTGGTCACGATACTCTTAGTAAACAATGACAGAATACCGGTCAAGACTATCAAGGATGCTTCGACAACCTGATCTGACCCGTTTAACATATGCCCCCCCGACACAACCTGCACTCCCGCCGGCCCGCTGGCTAACCCTGAAACAACTCATCATGGCCCAACGCAGAATTATAGCATTCACCAGTGCTGGTGCGGACATCGGGAGTGTTCCATGGCTCCTGGATGAATTCTTCTACGTCTTTGAGACCTCCTTCGAAGTCACCGATCCGTCAAAGTTCACCTGCGCTGCTCACCGTCCTGGTAGCGTTGGTGAGTCAGAAAGGCTCCGGCGGGCACTCCAAACCAGGATCCCCTGAATGAACGGATTCCTCTATGCCAATGTTTTCGATAGTAGGGCTGGAAAGTGGGTGAGTGGAGGCGAGGCGTATAAACCGAATGATACATATGTTGCGACGTTGAACGGAGACTAGCCCGGAATGCAGGGTAATCTCAAGCAGGGCCTCCCTCAGTGCATCGCTGAGTATAAGGGGACTGGCGGGTTGGTGCTGGTGGACCTTCACAATGAGGTTTTTATTCGAGTGGGAGTTTATGGTCATCGGTGCTGACGGACTGGACAGGGGTCACCAATCAACATTCTCGGCGCGGCGAATGGGGTTTCCAGCTCTATAAACAGGAGGGTTCCGCCGCCGACGCCCAATTAGAAGGCGGAGGGTGGGGCTTTTAAGCAGCTGGTTGGTGATGTCGGGGGAGATAGAGGATGTGCGGTTGTTGATCGCTTGGTGACTGGGGGTGCGAATTTGTTGAAGAAGACTGGGTTGGGGAAGAGATTTAGATAGTGGTATGCGTGAGGAGACTTATGTGCGAGGTGGGGAATACTTTTTTAACCGTTCTTATGTTGCATTATAGCTCTCGAATCTTTGGCAAAAAGGTATGCTTGCAATCGATTCTTGTGGGATCATGAGGACTATCAATAGCTATAGCATAGGCAGAATAGGGAAGCAGCCAGAAAGGGGGATACACGCCCAGAAAAATTCAAAACTAGCTAACATGAAACTAAAAACCTAGCCAAAGTCAATAGAGGAAGAGGGGCACCACCTAGGCAAAGCTCTCGGCGGTCATTAGCGAATGGAGATCCTTGTCCGTCTCGGCCCATTCCCTCTCAATAACCTCTGCACGGTTCTGATTCCTTGGCTTGATAGAGCACTCAAACGGTACAGGGCGCGACAGAAACCCATTGGTGAAAGCCATATCATCAACCGGAACCTCCGCCCCATCGGGCCTAATATTCGGCCCAATGTCGTACGCCCACAACATCCTCGAGATAGTGATGTAGAGGGAGTTCTTTGCAATGTGCCTCCCGGTGCAGGCCCTACGCCCGAAGCCGAAAGACAGATATCCGAGCGTCTCGTCGTCGTAGCGGTCGGGATTGTAGTCGTTCGGGTTCGGGTACACCTCCGGGTCCATATGTATCCCCCAGACATTCCCCACAATCCAGGAGCCCTTCGGTATGCGGTAGCCGAGGTATTCGTCGTCCTCGGTCACCGCGTGGTAGAATGCGTTTACAGCGACTGGACGCCAGCGCAAGGTCTCTTTGATGACCTTTTGGATGTACGGGAGGGAGGCTTGGTCCTGCCAGCCTGGCAGTCGGGATTCGCCGACGACGCGGTCGAGTTCTTCCTGTGCGCGGCGGGCCACGTGCGGGAATTTTACCATTGCAAGGATGAAGACTTCTAGGGCGATGGTGGTTGTGTCACTGGCTGCTTCATAAAGAATTCCAGCTGCTGGGAGTTAGCTTGCTTTCTCCCCTCCCACACATGAGGTACCAGTATTTACTTTTCCCCGACAAGGGAGGTGGAGATACATACCGTCATAAGAAATCTCTAACTCTGACATCCCTTGCGAAAGTGGAGAATTCTTGTACACCTTCGCCCAATTCCACCCCTTTTCCTCCAAGGCCTCTCTCATATTGGCGAGGTGCAATTCACATTCGATCTGATGGAACTTGAGGCCAACCCGCTTCCACTCGGCAAGGCACTCTGGCAAGAGGTCGAGGATAGGGAAGAGATCCACCCACCACCTCCCCACGGCGCCAGCTTCCGTGAAGTTCCGCATAATGAGGTCGATCGCCCGGAGTTCCTTCTCATGTGCGGTGACCAGGCGTTTGCCGTAGCCCAGGGAGAAAACAAGTGACGCGGAGTAGCGGTGGAATTGGCGGGCAAAGTCGTCTGGTTTCTTCAGGAGGGCGTGGATCATGTGCTTGCTTTCGAGGTCCTGCACTGGTTTGTACTTTTGGGACATTTTCGGCGATAGTATTGTTGCTTGAAGCCGGTGGTGGGCGTTCCACATCTCTCCGCGCATTAGGAGAGTTCGGTATCCTGGGTTTGTTGGTTAGTATGAGTACGCGTGATAAATCTGGGGTATGATAGAAATTGGCTAAAAGGCCAACATGAAAACAAGGAAGGCATACCGCGAGAAATATGCTTCCCACAAACTACAAGATCCGGTCTGTCGGAGTATATCTTCGCCCGCCTATCCAGCAGGTCCCGCGCAGCCTTGTACGTCCCCAGGACAATAATGGTGTGCGATCCAAACCGAATCTTGAATATCGGGCCGTACTTTTTCGTCCATTCTTGTTGTTGGAGCCAGTGGTATTTGGAGGCAAGCTGGAAGATGTTGCCCAAGATTGGGAGTCCGCGGGGGCCTGGGGGGAGTGGAAGTTGGTAGCGTTTTCGCTGGAAGAGGTAAGTGGCTATCAGAATCGCTAGGAACGATATTAGGAGTGAGAGAGGCCTTGTAGTAATGGGTGAAGAAGCGCCGCCCCCTGGGGTTTCGGTACAGTCTCCTACGGTGCACATTTTGTCAAGGGGGGAAAGGTAAAATGGACAAACGAGCAAAAGCAGGAGGAGCTGTAGTTAGAGGCGATGAAGCGAGAATCGACCTGAGGCGAGCCTCTTCATGAAATGCAGAGAAAAAACTGGCCTGTCCACTGCTAAATTCCCAAGTGGGTCAAGTGTGACGCGTTATATCTGTGGTCCTGGACGCAATGGGGGTCCTAGAGGGGCCCAAAGGGTTTACATACATATGAAATGGGGAGTGCATCGAGATCTCGGATCCTCTTCCATAATTATGCAGTGGCAAGCAGGATAGAGAGCGAGTAATGTTACACTCCTACTGCTATATATACAGGATAGGAGCAGATGGGATCACAGCCGTTGTATCAAAAAATTTAACCTCCCACCTGCCCCCGATCACCGCCCCCCCTCCCTCTCTTTTAGCTGGCGTCTCATGGATCTGCCAACTCACGGCAGGGAGAGAGAGCCTACCGTATCCACGCCGGAATACGATACCAACCAGTTTACTCGAGTATGGTGGTACGGCTCTCACCTTCCTGTCCTCACCTACCGGCACTTGAGTGCAGACACCCTGCAAATATGTTCCCGAAACGGAGTTGCTCTCTCCCGAGAGCCCCCCCTACCTGGGCCAGCAGAATGTCCGCCGAGAGGAAGACTGTTTCACTGAAGCTTTCGTCGGCTAGCTTGATAATACAGCACACTAATTGCTTATCGCCACATTTGCACCCCCAATTCCCGGATGTCATTCAATTCTGGAGAACAAGTTGAGTGAAGGGAATCCAGGTTATGTTAAACCAGGAGATGGGGAGCGGGCGCCATATCTCTCCTGTATTTTTCCAGTCACTGTGTAGAGTGCTGCCACGGTTTGAAGAAGTGGGGAGGGTTAGACGTATGGGGAGGGAGGGAGATATATGATTTAATAGGTCAATAGCTATTGTTGAGATATCAAACTAGTAACACAAGTTGCCAGCCCCGCACTAACTGCCGGAACTGTGGGGTGGATCGCAAGTCGTGTTGAAGGGTGCCCAAAAAGAGCAGCTACCATACCCCAACCCGGTGGGGTTCCCTCTCTATCTCATTGAGGTCGGTATTCCTTTTTGTTTTTTTTTGTGAAAGCCGGGGTACTAGCGGGAGGACAGGTGTGGTGGGCGAGCCGGGAGATACTGTACTCCAGGACGGTGCCGGTACCCCGTAGTCGGGGTAGCGGGGATAATGGGAAGAGTAGGGGTCATGACTTGTTAGCGAAAGCACCCTTAAGTTTGCAAGTAGGAAGGAACAGTGCGAGGATTGATCGCTCCATGACGATCCTCAAAATGTCTTGGTCCATTCCTGGCCTGTAACTGGAGAATTGGGTTAGTGGTACGAACCATCTGAGGGGGTGTGGGGCTAGCCTGGAATAGCGGATAATTATTTTTTCTGAGAAACATGTGCAGACAGACGCAAACATTGACGGCCGAGTATGTCACGATAGAGACGTTAATTATCATACCTCGAGGACGGGAGTAGGGCGGATGTGTTTCGGGGAAGCGGGAATAAGGCCGATGAGGCAGCAACAAAAATGTCGGGCCGGTGTGCCTCCTCGCTTGATTGGTCCGACTATTTGTATTCCTGCACTATGGTGTGGCGCTTACAAAGCCTAGCGAACCGGATAACATACTTGTCCCGGGCAAGAAGTACAGTCGCACCCCGGTGTCCCGGACGGCCAAAATCCTGAGAATCCGTCCTGGACAGCGAGTCATCCTGGAGAACAGGTTTGGTTTTGGTGTGAAGAAATTTATAATTCATAGAAATTCATCCGGGACAGCGAAGAATCCGGGAGAGCGAGGTCCGGGACAACGGGGTGTGACTGTACCGGAAAACTGAAATGGAAAAAGAGGGATATTTCAAGGGGCTAAGCCATCTCAAGGAGGTCGGTGTACGAGGCTGGTAACAAAAATCACCGGTAGGAACCAGTTCTCGTCATCGCAACAACATCATACCTCATCAACTTAAAATGACGTCTACTCCTCCACGAAATCTTCCTTCTGGTGAATGGCATACCCCAATGCGAGCCAGAGTCCTCACTTTACTTGATGTCGGTTTATCGCAGTCTGAAATTTCACATCAGACAGGTGTTCCACAGCGAACGATAAGTGACTGGAAAAAGTCACAACAGTCCCGAAGGCAACAAAAGCGGTCTGGACGCCCACGCTGCCTCGACAAGCATGATATTCGTCGCTTGATTGGTTGCCTCCGAAGTGGCTGGGAGGGGCGACAACTCTGCTGGCGAAAGTTGGGTCAGGAAGTAGGGTTAAGTGCTTCTCCGGTAACAATCAAGCGAGCCCTAGAGAGGGAAGGGTACTCCAGGTGTAAGGCTTGTAAGAAGCCATTTATTAATCGGAAGACCCAGCAGAAGCGTAAAGCCTATGCTGCCGAACATATATTGAAGCCAAAAGATTGGTGGAGAAAGCATATGTACTCAGATGAGTGCTCGTTCGATACGTCCCGACGCGGTAGTACCTGGGTTACACGACTTCCTGGTGAGCGCTACCATGACCACTGTATGCAGCACACATTTTACAGTGGCCGTAGCTCCTTTATGGTATGGGGTGCAATCAGTTTCAATTGGAAGTCTCCCTTGGTCTTCCTACGTGGCTCAGGCCAAAAAGGAATCGTCGCTGAGGACTATCTCCATCAAGTCCTTGAACCTATTGTCACTCCAGCCTATATGAACCTTCTCGAGTATGAGGCTTCCCCAGAAGCTGAATTTGTCGAGGACCAAGCCCCAATCCATGGGACCTTCGCTATCCTAATTGAGCCAAAAAACCAATTGGGTATCCCACTCCACCATCGTCCACCTTGTTCTCCGGATCTCAATCCCATCGAGAATGTATGGAAGGTATTGAAGCAGAGGATCAAGGCACGGAAGGTCTTTCCTAAAACTATTAAGGAAATGAGAGAGGCGGTACAGGAAGAGTGGGATCGTCTAGAGCCAAAGACTTGGAACAGGTATATTGATAGTATGCCTGAGAGAGTTTTGCAGGTCAAGCAACGGAAAGGAATGCAAACTGAATTTTAATGTCTTTTATTTGTTCTTCTCTAGCCTTTCTACTACTTTTTGATTTTTTGAAATTTTCTTCTACTTCTGTTGTGGAGATATTGGCGTTGATGGGAGTTGGTTGATAGTTTTGAAGGTTGTGTTTTGCGGTTGCTAGTGGTGATTTTTGTTACCAGCCTCGTACATGGTGATAAGTGTGGGTAGGGCTGGAATTCTCATCGAGTAAAGTACCTCCGCAAAAGTGTTGGTGAAATGGGCTTTTTACACCAAAAACATTGAGTTTTCGCCACTGGTAGTTCAGGAACCACAAAAGATTTTACAACCTGACTTCTGGTATGTAGTTACAATAATCCCACCCTACTCCAACCCAACTGTTAATAACTTTGGGGAAGAATTGGAGAAGTTATGCAGTCCTAAAGTTTTGACTTCACTGAAAAGCTACGTTTTACATACAAAAATGGCATAGCAACAGGTATTGTCAACTTTGGAGACTAGTAGCTTAGCCCCATAGAATAAATTGACAAAATAAATGATGTCGGGTAAAAGCTGCAGTTAAGGTGAAAATAATTATATAGGTTGTTAGGATTATTTGAAGCAATTCCAGGTCTGGGGGTTGATCAAACCTGCCCATTTTTGGTGTAAAAAGGTCATTTCAACAACACTTTTGCAGAGGTACTTTAGAACAGGAAATATCAAGTATTTTTGTTGGATAGAAAACAATATGAGGCACTTCAGTAGGAATTTTTGTGTTTCGTTAAACTATTAGACCTGTTTAAGGAGTAATATATGTATACAACCAAGGGGTTATGAAATAAAGGCCCTGTTTAGCATGTAGGAGTTTTTAAAATACTATGGTATTTGTATATAATGACTCTATGATAAGGTATGGCAACATATGTCTAGACCCATACATGTGATCAGGAGGTTGATTGGTAGACTAGGGGGGCATATTTAACGTGTTCGCACGGGGGTGCTAATCACACTTCCGGGTACAATAGGAGTAGCGCACAAGTTGATCTACAACTGGTGGGTGTACTGCGCTAAGGGAGGCTCCGAGAGGAAGATATAAAGAATAGGGACTTGAAGAGGTAACCGTTCAACCAAGTATATTAGAAATACTCTGTCCGTCGAAGTCTGCTGTTCCTCTAAGGGACTCAGCGGTCTTTAAATACAAGCTTCGTCCATGTCCTGCATGGACGGATTTCCAAATCCTCCACGAGCAACCCAAAAAACAAACTGAGTATCAACGGATACTTAAAACCACAAGTAAAACAAACTGAGTATCAAAGGATACTCGAAACCACAAGTAAAACAAACTGAGTGTCAAAGGATATCGAAACCACAAGTAAAACACACTGAGTATCAAAGGATACTCGAAACCACAAGTAAAACAAACTGAGTATCAAAGGATACTCGAAACCACAAGTGAAACAAACTGAGTATCAAAGGATACTCGAAACCACAAGTAAAACAAACTGAGTATCAAAGGATACTCGAAACCACAAGTAAAACAAACTGA